GTAGAACAAATTGAATCTGCCTCTATTTGGCTCCAGGAACTAGTTGTGCACAACAGTGGCTAGCTAGTGTAACATTCTTAGACTCTTCTGCCTCTTGTTTGGGGGTGGAACTAGTGGGAGGTTGAGGTAGGTGGGGGTACCATGAATGCTTATAGGAGGCAGAAACAAATATGTTTTTTTTTTCTCCACTATGTCCACCAGTTGCGAGCCCTGCCATCTCTAATCATTACCCAGCCCAGATTGTGCTTCTGGAATAGTCATATTTTGCTTGTGTTTACTCGTGCAGGAATAGGGAGGTTCAGTGCTACCATTTGTATGGTGGAAGAGGAGCTATGTTTGCTGAAGTAGTTTTGCTCACTGGCAGACTTTCCTACTGCAGTTGGGAAATGCAGTGAAGAAAAATTGCTTCCCCTTCTATTCATCTTAGAACAGGATTTGTTCAAATTTCCGTGTTGTAAACATTTACAAAGGGAAATTTTGTTTGTTTACAGATTAAAAGGTAATTAACAGCCAGGCGGTGGTGGCGCATGCTTTTTATTCCAACACTTGGGAGGCAGAGGCAGGCGAATCTCTGTGAATTCGAGGCCAGCCTGGTCTACAAAGCTACACAGAGAAACCCTGACTTGAAAAAAAAATCCAAATAAATAAATAAATGATTAGTTAAAGTGCTTGTTCTTCTAACAGTGTCAAGCAGCAGGGCTCTGAGCCACCATCTTCTTTTCTGTTTGTTTCTGGCCTTTGGGAAGCTGAAAAACAAATTAAGGTGTGTGTTTGTACACCTATGCAAATATGCACACATCTGTTTATAGTTCAGGAAATTGCCTTTGCTGTCCCTTCCCAGACATGGGAAGCCTAATTTGAGAAGCCTACTTTGGTTAAAGTAGGAAACATTTCGGCTGCTTTGTCCTGACTCAGGACTCTGAACTAGTTCTTGGAATGTGCTTGAATGCAAAGAACCAGTTCTGGTGAGTATGAAGTATAGAGGAAGGTCTTGCTCACTGGCTGCTGGGCCTCACAGGGTGTCTTGAGAATAGAAGATGAAAACACCTTTGCTAAATAATAGCATGTGATGTGTGCTAGGAATTGGATCTCAACTGGTTTTACTTTCAGGTCTTTTGGCCACAAGCTTGCAAATGACTGCCTCTCCCAGACTGATGGGGGGAGTGTAAATTGCTCACTTCCTTTGTGGTCTCTTAAGCAGTGCCAATGAATGTCACTAAACCAGAAACAAGGCTGGGCAGTGAGGAAAATGCCCCCCTGAGCGAAGCGTCAGTTTGTTGTTCTCCTGTGCCGTGTCTTCAGGTACATGTTCGGACGCCCAGGCTTTGTTTACTTGAGCCTTGGAGTAGAGAAAATAACCTGGGCTGTTGACCACTTTAGCTCTGTGGTGCCTCCCAAGTGTTACTTGTGAGAGATAAACATCTCTATTCTCTACAAGTCACGTTCCAGTAGAGTTTGTTTCTGGAAACGGCTTACCGTGGACTTCTTACCTCACAGTATAGAGTGTGCTAGATACTGCTGCATCCCTGTGTGTGTGGAGGCCCTTGAGAGTGGCTCACTTTCCTCAAGTGTGAGTCCGACTTGGGATTTTGAAGTGGTAGTTTGGTGCTTGTAGACTAGAAGCAGAAACTGGCCTGCAGCATTTGGAGAGACTAGGCAGGACTGAGGCACCCCAACTGACAGCACCAAAAACCCACACTTGGGGCTCTTGAAGATGTCACTCCCAACCTAGCTCAGGAATTCACAGGTTGTCCTTGAATTTCTGATCCTCCTGCCTCCACCTCGAATGTTGGGGTTTTAGGTCTGTGGCACCACACTCACTTGAGACTGACTTACTGAGTTTCAGAACTATAACTGTCTACTCGGGGTAGCCACTATTTTAGTTACCTATACTGTGTAGCTCTCTGGAGACTGATTCCTCGGAAACACCACTATACTGAGGGACGAGCTCAGTACTTGGAGCACCAACATCGTTTTACCACTTAGCAGAATGGGCCTGGAAAGAAGTGGAGAACACTGAGAGGCAGCCGAACGCATGGATCCTGACTAGAAACCTTTACAAGGAAACTGGTGTGGCCACTGCACTAGAAATCACTCAGATGGAAAGTGTTGTATGCAGAGATGAGGAACTTGGGTAACATGCCAGGTTTGAAAGGAGGTAAGTGCACACAAGTAGGCTTTCAGAGTGGGTACATCTCAGCTCTCCCAAAAGCCATCAAGGCTTCCAAGACTTTCAAATTCTCAGTGGTGTCTGAGCTCCCATCAGGTACTAGCCTACCCCATGAATTTTATTTTTCCTAAACCTCCCAAACTTGAAACATCAGAATAAAAGACGTCTCCCTTGCTGAGTCTCAAGTGGGGTGACTGTAGGGACCCATCCTGGGATGACAGCCAAGGTGGGGTGTGTGTGCATCTGTGGTTAGAATGTACACCTGGGATGCAGCGTTACCAACTGGGAGATTCTGCTGCAAAGACACTCTCCGAGGAAGAAGCCCACACTGTCCCCTACTCTCCTATTCATCCCTATGTGTGAGAAGGAAGAAATGCTTGAGGTTGGCTTGGACCTTTAGGTAAACAGGAAGTCTTAGAGCAGGTTTATTATAGGTCTAGTAAAAGCAGGCTGGCTGGGAATGGTGTACAGAGCTGTAATCTAGCACTCAGGAGGCTGAACTTGGAGGAGGATTGCAAGTTCAGATTTCTTAGGCTGCCCTGTCCCAAGAAAAAAGGAAAGCAAAGACTTTTTTTGTTTGTTTTCGAGACAGGGTTTCTCTGTGGCTTTGGAGGCTGTCCTGGAACTCTCTTTGTAGACCAGGCTGGTCTCGAACTCACAGATCTGCCTGCCTCTGCCTCCCAAGTACTGGGATTAAAAGTGTATGCCGCCACTACCTGACCCACAAAGACTATTTTTTTTTTTTTTTTTTGAGACAGGGTTTCTGTATTGTTTTGGAGCCTGTCCTGGAACTCACTCGGTAGACCAGGCTTGGTCTCGAACTCACAGAGATCCACCTGCCTCTGCCTCCCGAGTGCTGGGATTAAAGGCTTGCGCCACCACCGTTTGACCACAAAGACTATCTTAATGGTAGTCTTGATTAATTTAGTCACCTCCCTCCAGTAGCCTCTGCTGTCACCACCCAGGCATTCAAATGTCTACCTTCCTGTTCAATATACCCTACCCCCACCCACCCCTGTCACACAGAGAGGAGACCAAGTGCCCAGGGGAAATAATCATTTTCTCTTTGGAATGAGGGACACAGAAGATAAACATTTTTTTTTTTTGGTGGGCCAATGAATGAGCTAATGAACTTCATTTGCTGTTAACCCTACCCACATAATTTCAGTGGATTTCTGGTTTAGCCCCTATCATTTATGTTCCCGTGTGTATACACAACATAAGAAGGCTAGAAAACAATTCTTGAGTATTGTTTCTCAGGTGCCAAACACTTGTGGTTTTGTTTGGTTGGTTGGTTTTTGTTTTTTTCGAGACAGGGTTTTCTCTGTATTGTTTTGGAGCCTGTCCTGGAACTCACTCGGTAGACCAGGCTTGGTCTCGAACTCACAGAGATCCACCTGCCTCTGCCTCCCGAGTGCTGGGATTAAAGGCTTGCGCCACCACCGCCCGGCTCAAACACTTGGCGTTTTAAGGCCAGGTCTCTCTGGCATAGAGCTCACCTGTCTCTGCCCTCTGCCCCCAGCACCATGATTACAAACACTATCATACCCTGTTTCTTTTTGTTGTTGTTTGTTATGTTTGTTTGTTTATAGTTTTTTGAGATGGTTTCTCTGTGTAGCCCTGGCTGTCCTGGAACTTGCTCTGTAGGCTAGACTGGCCTCAAACTCATAGAGATCTGCCTGCCTCTGCCTCCTGAGTGCTGGGATCAAAGGTGTGTGCCACCATTATTATAAATTCTGGGGACCAAACTGAGGTCTTTATGCTTGTATGGCAAGTACTTTGCTGGCTGAGTTCATCTTCCATTCCGTTAGCAATCTTATTTCCAGTGTTTCCCCTTGGATTTCATTCTGATTAAGAGACTTAAAAAATAACTGGGCATGGTGGTACATGCCTTTAATCCTAGTACTCAAGAGGGGATCTCTGTGAATTCAAGGTCAGCCTGGTCTGTGTGTTCCAGGACAGCCAGGGCAACACAGAGAAACCCTGTCTTGAAAAATTAAAAAAGGAAAAAAAATACGTTTACTTATTTGTATGTGTGTATATACATGTGTGGCTATCACGTATCGTGATCAGAGGATACGTTTTGAGAATCAGGTTTGGCAGCAAGCGCTCGATGGAACAGCAGCTTTATTTTTTCAGATAGAGCCTCAGCCTCCTAGGGTTGATACTGCAGATAAGTAGCACCATGCATAGCTTCTGATGTTGTTAAACATCTCAGGGTCCTCTGTCTTAGGAAAGAGTTTCCCCTACTAGATTGGGGCTCTCTGAGATTGGAGCTATTCTGTCTTTCTGGAGCTCTACCCTGAATGGGGACAGCTAACTGTCCTAAAAGCAAAGCCCTTATACAGGAGGACTGATGAATGACCTGGGACCAAATTGCAGTCAGGAGGACTGAATTGGAGAGGGTAACTCCTTTTAAAACAATTCCTTTATTTTGTGTGTGCATATTGGTACACACATGCCATGACACACATGTAGAGGTCAAAGGACAACTTGGAAATGTTTACTTTTTCCCTGTGTGGGTCCTAGGGATTGAACTCAAGTTGTCAGGTTTGGCAACAAGTGCCTTAACCCACTAAGTCGTATCATCAGCCCAGTGACCTCCTTCGGCAGGAGTATCCGGAATCGAAAAGGGTGCCTGGCCCCACTCCTTCCCACCCCAAATGCATGCAGTGCCTTCCCCACCAGGGTATTTTTGTTTCTGTCACCATCCTTAGCCAGGCCCCGAGTTCTTTTCCCACCTGAGGATGGCCCTTGGCAGAGAGTAATCTTCCTCTCTGCTATTCTGACATCTTGCCCTCTATCCCACATGCTCAAGGAAGCTACTCCATACTGCTCACTCATTTATTGAGCTCCACTGTGTGTTGGGCATGGGATACAGAGTGTGAAACCCACCCTGTAATACATAGACATGAGAGCCTGGGTGCAGGGGCGAGCTGGGTCACTCCCTCCTGTGAGGCAGCACTACGTTGTGTGCCATTGCTACCTGAAGCCAAGAATTGTGGAAGAAATGCAGGGTTCTGTGCAGGCCTGGCATGAAATGCCCAAGCTGAGGACAGAAGACACTGGACCGTTGGCCTTAGGCTCTTCAGCTGTGATGCTCAGGGATTATGGACATGGCATCCTTTGGGAAGCATATTTGGGGCTCACTCGGAACCCTGGCCATCCTCTTCTGTGTCCAGGGAGAGAGCTACACGTTGCTCGTGACTGAGAGGGTCTGGTCTCCCTCTTTGACTCTGAAGGCCTTCTGTGGCCACTGTGCCGGGCCCTGCACTCTGGTGGTGTGTCTCCTGTCTGCAGGTTCCTAGAGCAGTGGAATTATAGGTTCATCTGCCATATCTCCAGCCAGCCCTCAGTCATCCTCTACAGAAAGGGGAATGGTATCCTAAAGTCTGGAAGATTTTCTTGGGACAAGGAACACTGCCCAGGAAACTGATTTTGTTACTAGCTCACTGTGCGGCTTAGGACAAATTACTTTCTGTCCCCAGAAAATGATGTCTAAGGGACCAGCTTACCCCATGTATGTAGACCATTCATTTCAACAATATTGCAGGGAGTTCCAGAGACCCTCTGAAAGACTCACCCTGAGAAAATCTCAGGGGAAAAAAGACAGTTTCTTCCCAGTAGCCAATGTTCCATCAGGAAAGAGGGAGGAGCCAGAAGTCAGGTATAACATTGAAATAGCATAGAGCTCAGTGTGACCTGCATCTGGTCACTGTTGGGTCCACTGCCCTCCTTGTGATGGCTCTCTGCACCTCCCCCAACCTGGATTATTTATTTTCATGCCTGGATTCAGGGACCACTTGAGGGTACAGTTCCTGCTTGGGGGCACAGGGTGTTAGCTGCTTTTAGGGTATCACCTCTCGCATAGGGCTGCTCACTTAATGGCAGTTGTTGACTAAGAATCTCTTTAAGACTAAATTCCTGACCTGGGGATCAACAACTAGGTCTTCCCAGACAGAAGATTGGGGATGCTGCAGGACATCATATCCTGTGACTCCACTGAACCTTAAAGGGGACATGAGCTGGGGAGGATAAAACTTCAAGATCATCAGGGCTGGCAAAATGGCTCAAAAGGTATCTGTCACCATGTGACCACTGGAGTTGGGTCTCTGGCACATGATGGAAGAAGAAAACCAACTCTTGCAAGTTGACCTCTGACATCTACACACATTCTGTGGCACACACAAGCACACAGATATTCAGAAGACCAGCAGGGGCCTCTCCCATCCCTTGTACCACAGCTCCCCCCTCCTGTGGACCCTTCTGCTGGATAGAATGGTATGGGAAACTATTCTATCTGATGGCAGCAGAATGTCTGGCTGTTTTCCCATGATACCCTTGTCACCCTTTAGATGCCTTCTCCTACCTTCCATGGACAGACCTCTTTCGCCAAGGAGGTCCTGCGTTATTCGTCCCAGCTGATACCCTGGTGAGGAAGAGAGAAGGGGTAGAGAAAAAAGGAGAAGTAAAGGAAGGTTGCCTTAGGCATGGGGTTGCCTAAGGACAGGCAGGGTAGAGCTGGGCCTTCCAAATGTGGCCATTCTCCCTCGGGAGGTGAAGAAATGCCCTGGATCCCTTCATTCATCCATGGCTTTAGTCATCAAATCCTCCCTCTTGCTAGTCCTCTCACCAATATTTCTATGTTCAGAAACTAGGCTGAGTATTAAGGATGCAGATTGACCAAAGCCCTGGGTCTTCCTGTGGGGAGTTTCCAGGCTGGGAACAACCATGGGACACCCACAGGACTGCACAATGCAGTGTGCCTAGGAGACCATCATTCCCAGGCCATGGACACAAGCTACCTGCTCAGGAGGGGCAGTCCCACGATAACCTGCTAAGGATGGGGCTGTGAAATCAGTAACGGCCCCAAAACGCATGAAGGGGCTAAGTATGATTCATACAGCATTCAGCAGTTGTGGGTACAGCTGGTGTTTTCTGTGTTGTTTCAATTCATTTGAGACAGGCTCTTGCTTTGTAGTTCAGGCTGGTCTATACCTTGTAATCCCTCTGCTTCTGCCTCAGCTTCCCAAGTGCTGGGATTACAAGTGTGAGCCATCACACCCAGCCCCTCTTGTGATCCCCTTTCTACTGAAGGGCTTAAGCAGAATAAAGCAGATCTGGATTTACAGTTCTAACATCCTCAAGGAGCAAGGGGTTGAATTGATGAGCTCTTCCTGGTTGATTGATTTGCTTAACTGGTAATTCTGAAACTCTGGCCCTGTCTCCTACCTCTGCAGGCACTCCCTGGGCATGCATTTCCCACGCTCTAGGGAAATAACCAGAAAATCCATCTTCTGGTCAAGTCATAGCAGTCCTTTGATGGTACAGCAGTGCCAGCCAGGCATGCCCCCAGCCAGAGCTTCACTGTTTATTCCAGGATGGCTAATGGCCAGCACAGTGTTCTCCACCCCAGGGAGTATGCTGAGGGTAGACCAGGGCAGCACTCACCCATTCTTTCCTTTGGCTGGGTCGGATGTATTCCTGGGAGGAGAAAGGGGATGAAGATTGTGTTGCTTTCCTGGAGGCCTGGTGAGAGCTGTGAGGGGCTTTAATGGGAACTCTAACCACCCCCTTGTCCTTGCATGACCGTGGGGAATGTGCCCATAGGAGGCAGTAGAGTATGCATAGACTGGCATCACTGGGACTTGGCACCAGCCAGGAGGCGTCCTTGGGAAAAGTACTTACTATCAGAACTTCAGTCACCTACTGGCTCTTGGGGGTGTTGTTGACATAGAGGTCTGGCCATGGTGAGGGAAAGAAAAAATGTCTCTCACCATGTAGTCTAGGCTGGCCTGGAACTTGCAGTGAGTGTCCTGTTCTGCCTCCCAAGTGCTAAGATTACTGGCATGTGTCACCCAGCCTGCTTCAGCATTTTGTTTTGTTTATTGGTGTGTGTGTGTGTGCATGTGTGTGTGTGTGTGTGTGTGTGTGTGTGTGTGTGTGTGTGTCCGTCCATACTAATTTGGCAGGGCCTGTCACTGAACCTGATGCTTGCCAGTTTGTTTGACTGGCTGCCAGCAAGGCCAGAATATTGTCCCGGTCTTTACTTCCCCAGTGCTGGGATTACAAGTGTACTCCTAGCTTTTCATGTGGGCGTCGAGTCTTAAATTCAGGGTCTCATGCTTGTGTGGCAGCACTTTACTGATTGAGTCATCTCCCTGATTACCCCCCCCTTTTTTGAGACAGAATCTCATGTAGCATAGGCTAGCCTCAAACTCACTATGTAGCCAAAAAAAAAAAAAATGACCTTGAACTTCTTATCATTTTGTGTCTACCTACCGAGTGCTGGGATTACAGGCATCGTCACCATGTCCCATTTATGTTCCATATTTTGACCTTTCCCCCACTGGTGGTCTTATGTTTTACAAATTCTTGCTGTTATGAACAACTTAGTAATGAACCCTTTAGTACAAACATTTCAGAGGTCATGTGACATTCTCATACAAACCTGAGATTCTCTGACGTGAAACTATTAGTCAAAAGTGTACACCAGGTGTTGATGGTACACACATGCCTTTTATCCCAGCACTCAGGAGGCAGAGGCAGGCGAATCTCTGAGTTTGAGGCCAGCCTGATCTACAGAGTGAGTTTCAGGAAAGCGAAGGCTACCCAGAGAAACCCTGTCTGGAAAAACAACAAAAAGTGCACGCAGTTCCTACTTTGATGGATGCAGCCAATGGCTCCAAATGACAGAGAAAGTGCCTGAGCAGGACTACTCAGGACATGGCTGGGAAAAACAAAACAAAAAACAGCAAGCCAAGAGAAACCTAACTGTGTCCAGTATGACTTCTGTCTCCAAGAGAAACCTAACTGTGTCCAGTATGACTTCTGTCTCCAAGAGAAACCTAACTGTGTCCAGTATGACTTCTGTCTCCAAGAGAAACCTAACTGTGTCCAGTATGACTTCTGTCTCCAAGAGAAACCTAACTGTGTCCAGTATGACTTCTGTCTCCTGGGACAGCTTCCTTGTTTCCAGGACCCCGGGCATACAGCAGCTGTGCTTGAACTGCCCTGAACTAGATGGGAAGCCGGCCTTGCTCATATCTAGATGCTGCTGTCCATCTCACAACACTCCGCATCAGCCAGGTGTGGAACCAGGGTGTAAAGCCTCAGCCCCACTCCTCATGTGCTGAACAGCCCATGTGTACCTGTTGCCAGTGTCCCTCCTCAAAGCATCCTGCACGAATGAAGACTGATAGGGACAGTGTCCCTCGCCATCCCATGGACATCCCTCTCCTTGGTGTTGCAGAAACCGGTCAGAACCATGCCCACCGGCTTTGTCACTCACCCTGCACCCGCTTCCCCATCAGACCGTAGAACTGGCGAGTTCTGCTTCTCTTCATCTCCTGAAGCTGGAGCTCAATGCTGGCAATTGGGATTCCCTGGAGAAGCAGAGGGTTAGCATTAGAGTATGGAGCTGAAAAAGAGACAGGGGAGCCATACCTTCTCAACAACAGCCTGGCACTAGATTCTTTTGCATATTTACCCCAAACATTTTATTTATTTTTCTGAGACAGGGTTTCTCTGTGGCTTTGGAGGCTGTCCTGGAACTAGCTCTTGTAGACCAGGCTGGTCTTGAACTCACAGAGATCCTCCTGCCTTTGCCTCCCGAGTGCTGGGATTACAGGCATGTGCCACCTCAGCTAAACATTGTATTTTATAAAAAGATTTATTTTGTATACTGTGTTCTGCCTGCATTCGAGAAAAGGGCACCAAATCTCATTAAGGATGGTTGTGAGCCACCATGTGGTTGTTGGGAATTGAGCTCAGGACCTCTGGAAGAGCAGCCAGTGCTTCTAATCTCTGAGCCATCTCTCCAATACCCCAAACATTGTATTGATGATGATGTAAAATTTCACCAGCTGTGTTCCTGGTACTGTCCTAAGCATTTTCATTTAGTAACTAATTCTCTCACCCAAACCTCATGAAAATAGCCCAATATTATTGCTGTCAACATTTTACAGATAAAGGCATACAGGTACATAGAGATGAATTAATTATGTCCAAAAACAACTGAGAAATTGAGTCAGAACTTGAACTTAAGCTATCTGGATCAAAAGGCAGGCTTTCAAACACTCGGTTAAAAATTCAATATAAATATAATTACCATTAAGACTATGGAGCTGAGCATGATGGCATGTGATGGTAACCCCAGGACTTGAGTGGCTGAGGCAGGAGCATTGTCTGAGCCACATAGCCAAAGGCAGCAGCGAGAGGATTGCCGCCAACTGGACGTTAGACTAGTCTACATGGGTTCCAGGTGAGCTAGGAATACACATAGTAAGACTGTCTCAGAAAGAACATGCAGCCAGGTGGTGGTTGCACACACCTTTAGTGTCAGCACGACAGAGCTAATTTGAGGACAGCCAGGGCTACACAGAGAAAGCCTGTCTCGAGAAGGGGGGAAGGGGACATGTGACCCCTGTCCATTTTACATATGTGGAAACTGGGAGAGCTAGTAACCTTAATCAACGTAACACAGGAGAAGCTGAAGCAGGATTCAAAAGTCTTGAGAAATGTCAACAAAGACCAAAAGTGGCTGCCACTTAACATTGCAGAGCAACCAGGGCTAAATGGCTGTTCTCTTCTCTCCTCTATTGTCCCAGACTTACCCTTCCCAGAGCTGGGCATCCTGGAAGGAGTCCCACATGGGATCTGAGTGGAGCTATGGCCCTGGAAAAAGCCATTTTAATCCTCTAGCCTAGCCCAATTGGAAAATATCCATCCTAACAGCTGTAGACCTGAGTTCTCTCTCCCCCACTCCCTCTATGACCTTGAATCTCTTGGGGAGCACCTATGACCATCTCTGAACTGAGACAAGTAGGAACCACCTTTTCCAACAAGACTGAAGACAAGCCACCGCCTCCCTGGAGGCCGTACACTGGGAGCTGGGGACAGCTCAGTGACTGAGCTGGTGCAGGATCTCAGGACTCCAGGGAGTCAGGGAAGCCCCATAGGCTGTCTGGGGGCTTGCTGCGCCCTGTTTTCACGATAGATTGTTTTCTAAGTCTTGGCCTAATTCAGCCTCCCAATCTGTCTCCTCCCTGAGCTGTCAGTGGCTGGGGCAGCTGTCGCCAGCTGGAGTCACCCAGCCTAGCCAGAAACCAGAGAAAAGTCTCTTTGGAGATTTAGGCCCATCTTTGAAAAGCTCACAAAAACCACTTTGTCTTAATAAAGAGCATCCTCCAAGCACAAACTGGAAAGAGTGGTCTTTTACGAATTCAATTGAGCAGATCCTTCTACCCACCAGGTTCCTGCTAGGGGAGGAGAAACATTAGGAGGACTATCCTATTTTATCCAGGAAACCCAGGGGTGACTGCAGGCAGGGCACCCTGGGAACTGAAGGAATGAGTTCATGCCATTTGTAATGATACTTAGCAACCCGCAGAGTCAGTCTGTGAGGACTTCTGGTCATCTAACCTAGCCTCTCCTCTCCTTGAGAGGCAGAGAGGCACTGAAGGAGAGAGGAGGGGGACAAGATTCACCCCGCAGGATGAGCTAATTGACTGCAGGTGGAAACCAGAACTGCCAATGCCTGTGAAATTGATGACACTTCCATGTGTCCACGCCCAGTGTCCGCTCTGCTCCAACAGAACTTTTCACACATTGCATGTCTGTCATTGACTCAGAAGACGTCCCAGCTGCAGAATGAGCGAGGAGTTATTTTCTCTCCCCTCCATCTTGCAGGGGAGGCATTGAGGTTAAGAGAAGCAGGAGTCACTGGAGAAGATGAGACTTGAACCCAGGTCTCCCAGATCTGCTGTCCTCTCCCACTACCCACATTTCCCTAGAGAGGAAACTAGAGTGGACCCCTCGGCAGAGCTGTCTATGCATGGCTTTTCCTGGGGTCCCGTTTTGAGCCCTCCTCTTCTCCCTAGGCTGACCTTGAACTCCCTATAGAGTCAAGAATGACCCTGGACTTGTAATCCTCCTGTCTGAACCTCCTGAGTGCTGGGATGACAGGCACACCACCATGCCGTTTTATGCGGTGTTGGGGATTGAACCCAAGGCTGCATGTTTACTAAGCCCTTTACCAACTGAGCCACATCCCTAGTCCCCCAATTCTAATAGTGTCCAGGGACCTCACATGGCTCAGCAACATAAACCAACATCAGCCGAGTGACTTTTCCAGGACTGTTGGGAGGAGACAGGCTCCAGTTATTCTCCTGGTTCCCTGGTCAGGGATTGGGAGCTCTAAGGTCAGAGGTATGGGATCTCAGAGTAGGTTGGCGCTCCAACTTTTAGATTTCTTTCCAGTGACAGTACCAGGGAGTTTATCAGACACCACTATGGTCAAACACTGGTGCTTGTCAGGAGACAAAAGTGAGACAAAATAGTGATCCTGCTCCAGTAGGTCCCTTGAAAAGAAATTCCCTGGTGCTCAGATGCAGAGTCAGCACCTAGCTAAGGTGGAAGCTGTACATCTCAGACAAGCTCCTTTCCCTCAGTACCTCAGTTTTTCTCATCTGTGAAATGGGGATAACAATGGTAGTTTCCCCATGAAGTTGAAACAAGTTACTGTTTATGATACAGACAGTACAGCACAAGGAACGTAGTAGGTGTTAACTAAGTGTTTCTATACACACAGCACACATTATTGCTCACACGTGCAAGCCAAATGTGCCTCTGATGGCTGGACCGATCAGGGCTCATGCCCTTGACTCTCCCTACTCAGGGGAGTTTACCAGCCTGTCTTTCAGGGTTCGGGGTACACTCTGCTAGCCTGGCAGCCTCAGAAGGGATCTCCCAGCCCTCCGCCACGGGTCATCATCTCAGAAAGGTACCTTCAGGTTCACGGTCACCCAGGACTCTGCTTCTGTGCCAAGACTCAGTCGCTTTCTGTCTCCTGTTGTAGTGCACACCGACGGCCCAACCAGGAGAAGCAGGGCAAGGAGGGGCAGCATGGTGAGCAGGTGCTGCTCTGTCTGGGAGTCCGGGAAGCCCCTCGGCCTGAGCCACCTCCTTCAGCAGCGTGGGAGGGAAGTCTCCCCTGCTCTCCAGGCCTTCCAGCCCCTCTGCTTCCTTCCTGTGGCTAATCCCATCTTTGAGCTCCTTCACCAACAGTCGCTCTCCCTGGCTGATTGAGCCAATGCCATCAAGAGCCTAGACCTCTCCATAGCCACCCCTAACATTTGATCCCAAGGCTTAACACTGATGCAATACCAGCCTTACCTTTGGCTGGGTTCCCTCCTGTTACAGCTTGCCAGGGACACCCCCAGGGGAGTATCTCTAAAGCTGGAGCTGGGAAGAGGGCTACATGGTGCCAGCGTGTCACTGCTGATCAACCACTCCCCTCTCATCCCTTCTCTTTCTGCACTCGCCCATCCCAGCCCCCATGCGTCCTTAGAACACACTGCTGGCCCTGAGAGGCACCGTCGGTAAAGTGAGGCTTCCTGCAAGCAGAAATTGAGATTTGCCAGAAAATGGCCTCTGACCCCAAATGTCAGCCATTGGCCCTCAGTGAGTTTCCACGATTGCCAAAATGACATTCTAACCCTGAACCACCCTTATCCCCTCTGCTTGTAGCCCCTGTGCATTCCTTCTTCAAACTCCAAACTCCTCAGTATGCTCAGCCCCTGTCCAGATTCTCCTTCTCTCTGCCTGGCCATCCGTCCGTCCGTCATCTGTCTGTCAGTCTAGAACAAGGGCTCTGTGTTCAGAGACCCAGAATCTACTTGAAGCATCACTGCTGAGTTTTGTGACCTCTGGTTATTACTTAACCCCTCTAACCCTTAGGACCCTCCTGGGTAACACAAGGCTGGGGATGCACAGACATAACGCATGCGGAACATTCAGCACAGTGTGGAATGGTAAATATTTAATGTCTGTTAACTACTGTTATTGTTACTTTTGTTTTTTGAGATAAGAGTTTCTCTGTAAGTTGGGCATTAGTGGCATAGGCCTTTAATCCCAGCTCTCGGGAGGCAGAGGCAGGCAGATCTCTGTGAGTTCGAGGCCAGCCTGGTCTACACAGCAAGTTCCAGAACAGCCTCCAAAACAATACAAAGAAACCCTGTCTTGAAAAACAAAACAAAACAAAACAAAAAAAGCTTCTCTGTGTAGCCCTGGGTTTCCCAGAACTCTCTCTGTAGACCAGGCTGGCTTTGAAATCAGAGATCCACCTGCCTCTGCCTTCTGAGAGTTGATTAAAGGCAGGTGCCACCATGACCTGCTAACCATTATTACTATTATTGGGACTGCATGGGAAGATGACGAAGGAAGACACTGTGCCTGACCCCATCACCAGAAATCTCTGATGGGTTACAATGAAGTTGTTTTAGAACGCCAGCACATGCTACAATGAGGACTTTCTGGCTCAGGAAGTCACCCTGTCTTTTATTTAGTGCCCCCATGGGCAAGACATCAATGCCTCCACCCTCTTCTCTTGTTTGGGGCTTTCTATCATCTTCCTTAACTAATTCTTCCTTAAAGTCACCACTTTTCCCCTCTTCGTTTTACAGATGTGGAAACAGGCAGGTCAGGCTTGATCATCCTAGATACCAGTGCCAGGCCTGGGAGATAGCCTTCCCACTGCAGGAACAGTCAGATTGATTTTAGCCCGTGGAGAGTTTCTGAGTCTGAGTTTCCCGGTCTGTAAACCTCCTAGGGTGGGTGGGTCAAGTAGTTCACGAATGATTGGGTAAAGTGCTCGCAGGCTCAGCACTGGTCTTGAGGCTCCCCAGCTCGCTGGCGAAGGAACCACCATGCCTGGGGCAGGATGTGGTGGACGCACTGTGGACGAGGCGGGATACATCGGTCAGATGAGAGGGCGGAGAGAAGAGAGAGAAAACCCCAAAGGTCCGGAAGGCCGAGAGGGAGGCAGGACACCAGCTGGAAACCGCGGCTATTTGCAGCATCGCCCTAGGTTTGCGGTCAGGCAGGGGCTGGAATGCCCGGCGACCGGGTTCGCAGCCCCACCCCAGTGTCGTCGGCCACCCGGGCGAGGCTCTGGCCGATGAGTCCCCTTCGCTGCAACGTTGAGGTCCGGGAGGCTGCTGGGCTGGGGCACCGAAGGAGGACAAGCCCACCGGAGGGGAAACGCGTGCCTGTCTAGTTGGGTAAGATTCTCGGAAAAACGCAGCGTGGGCGGGGTCCAGTAGGCTGGGGTAGGCGGGGCCCCGGCAGGTTTGGGTAGGCGGGGCTTCGGCAGGTAGAGACTCCCTCACTACCCATAGAAGTCGTGCTCACGCGGGCAGACAGCGCCCTCCATCGACCGAGCTGGGCAGCGCCCAGGACCGACCGAGCTGAGCAGTGCACCCTATCGGTTGAGGCCGGCAGCAGCCCTCACCCACCGATGCCGGCTGGCTCAGGTCCGGAACAACCGCGTGTGGGCGGCTGGTACGGGGCGGCGCTCTGGCCGCGGGGCGGGCCGCGGCAGCGGTGAGGCTCGCTGGGCGCCGGGTGGGCGCGAAGGATTGCTAAAGGCTGCGGTTTGGCCAAGATTGCGGAGAAGAAAAAGATGCAAGCGAGAAGGGATTAAAAAAAAAAAAAAAGACGAGGAAGAAAAGGGAAACACTAGATCCCGCGGGCGAGCTGCGGGCAGGAAGCCGACGCTTCCAAGCGCCCACTCGGCCAGAGGAGGGGGGTCGTGGGCCCGTTGCACAGGCCGGTTCCAGGAGGCCAGGCGCCATGGGTGGCAGAGTTGGAACTCGAACCTGGATCTGCATTGGGCTCCAGTGTTCGTTCACCTCCTAGAGCAAGGAATCGGAATGGGGGATGGCAGGGTTGGGAACTAGGGTAAGAGGTCTCGGCTGCCGAGAAGACGCTGTGGGTCTGGGGACGCCACCGAACCCAACTTCCGTCCTTCCTACGCCCTTCCAGCGCCCCCACGTGGAAGCTTCCGACCGACTCACCGCCCCTCCTAGACCGCCGTGTCGCAGGCGTGTCGGGAGCTGCGTACTGGCCTCTGATGATCTGTTCTTTGCATAGAAGGACAATGGGTTTCTTCCTTTGACGTGGAATAAAGTGGTGCAGGTTACCCCGGAGTCCAGACCTGGGAAACATCAACAAATATAAACTCTGTGCTTGGAGCTCTCCTTTGCAGCAGCTTGGACACGCCTCTCCCTCACCCCATTACATTACTGCTGCTTCTCATGGATTTACTTGATACAGCAGGGCATCTGCAGAAGAACAGGCACACTGGGCAGACCTCTCCATCTCTATTCATTCTGGGAAATGGAGCAGAGCCCTGGCCCTTCCACCAGACTTGGGGTGGGCAGATATTTGCTTACACTTGGAGGATTTAACCCAAATCTCTCATGTTCTTGGCATCTCTAGTCCTGTTAGGCTGTCGGCCTCTGCCTCCCCCCATCTCTGGAAGGGTCTTGAAAATGCCTGATGTGTTGCCAAGTCTACTGCTAGCAGATCAGAATTTTGCTGTTTTTTTTTTTAGTTCTTTTAACCTTTTGTTTTATGTGTATGGGTGCTTTTGTGCACTAGATGTAGTCTCTGCCCGAGGAGGCCAGAAAAGGGTGTTGTGAGCCACACTGTGAATTCCGGAAATGGAACCAGGATCCTTTGGAAGAACAACCAGTGTGCTCTTCACTGAGCTGTCTCTAGAACATTCAGATCACAATTTTGAGAAGAATCACGAGGAGCCCTGTTCTCCACCAGTCCTTCCCTCGCCATCAAAGACACAGGCTCAGGGTTGCAGGAGCCTGGGGCCTTCCCTTGGCTCCTTTCCTCTCACATCTGGGGGGCCTCCTGACACACATCCCTTTAAAGTAAGGCACCGGCAGGAAAAAGGAGCACAGGGTGGGTGTAAACCCAGAGAATCAGAGTAGGGTGTTCAGGTTCAAGTGACAGAAGTTACAGCCTGGTCACTTAACCATGGATGGCTGGCTACCTTAGATAAGGTACCTAACTGTTTTGAGCTTCCCTTACTGTAGGAGAGAGAGAGAGAGAGAGAGAGAGAGACAGAGACAGAGACAGAGACAGAGACAGAGACAGAGACAGAGACAGAGACAGAGACAGAGACACAGAGAGAGAGAGACAGAGAGAGAGAGACAGAGAGAGAGAATATGGTTATGGGGGCTAAAATGATAACACAAGAACTTTGTGGAGCATTTGTGTAGCTGGCTGTCAGCATATAATAAATGGCAGCAATTACTGCTGTTAATAATATAATTAAGCGACAACATCCATCTACATTCCCTGGGAAAGCCCAGATTAAAGAAAGTCATCGGGGCATTCCCTGATGTTTCGCCAGGATGGAGACTAGGTGCCTGCCATCAGACTGGGTCTCCCTGTGTGAAGTCTCTTCTTTAGACAAAGTTCAGCACTCTCGATCTTAAAGGGTGGGCCCAGGGAGGCTGGTGAAGCCTGGTATCAGGAGTTCTAGGTTCTAGTACTGCCCCTTACCTCAAGGGGAACCCAGGAACCTCTCTGAAGTGCTCACCTGTCTCTGTGCCTGCAAGCCTTAACCCCTCTAGTCTGACCCCATTAGTGAGGGGAGGGACGCTCTGTTTAAAGTCTGCCCTCTCTTCCTGGAGTCTGAGTGCTGGAGGAGAATGAACGCTAATTGAAAGTGTTTATAATGCATTACCCCTGGTTTACCCAATGGAGCCTCCAGTTCCCACCGTCTGCTGAACAGCTTGTTGCTGCTGTCTAAATAGACTCTGGTGTGGAAACAGTGCCTTGGAGCGGGAGCCTGGCTGGCTGGACTCAAGAGGGGCCTGGAGCTAACCTTGTAGGACCCTCCTGGGTCCTTCCTGGATCTGCTCAACCCTTCTATGGTCTGAGATGAACATGGGACAGATGGGGAGAACTGGGGTTGGGGGAGAATTCCAAGCCATTTTCTGGCCCGTTGTGAGCACCTAGGACTGGAACAGAGGTGGCCATGGAAGTTAAAGTCAAGACACTTTTAGTAGCTTGGCCCTACTAGGCCTGGAGCTGGGACCTAGGCTCTGCCACTCCTAGTGGTCCTAATCCCTGTTCCTGCAGTTCTGACCTTGCAGATACAGACAGCCAAGGTTCGGTTCACATCCCATCTCTGCTCAGCCCTTAGGGCCTACACAGTCTTTTCTTTACCTGTATGGGGGTTTTGTCTATGTATATGTCTGTGTAGCACTTGTATACCTAGTGCACACTGGAGTTAAAGAAGGTTGTGAGCCACCATGTGGCTGCTGGGAACCTAACCATTGTCCTTTGGAAGAGCAGCCAGTGCTCTTAACTGCTAAGACACCTCTACAGATCCCTGTTTTGATTTTTGAGACAGTCTTACTCTGTAGACCAGGCTGGTCTTGAACTCAATCTTTCTGTTTCTGTTTCTCTAGTGCTAGGATTACAGGCATGTTCTACCATGCCCAGCTGATCCTCTCTTTAAAAAAATAAAAAGTTAACAAACAAGGATCTTGGACTTCCAGTCAACCTGGGCCATGCATGTGTCTCTTCAGCAGGTGCTGTGGAATTTTGTCCAGAGCATGTAGGTACCTATAAGGTGGCGTGGAATCAGGTCACTGGAAAAGCCCAAGGACTACCTGGAGTGGGGCTGGGAGAGGCCAGTCCTGAGCTAGAGAAGAGAGGGCTGAGCTCAGCGACAGCAGAGGGTGTCCTGGGTTTGAGGTCTGGAGGACAGGAAATGGGATGATGTAAGAAAATGTGTCCAAGGACAGTTGGACAGTTTGAAATGCCTCACTGTCCAGGGGGAGGTACACGGAATAATGTGAGGCCAGCACATGGGGCTATTAGGGAACACCAAGAAACACCCCAATGACCACGGAGATGACTCAGTTTGAGGACCTGAGTGCAAATACCAAGAACCTACATACAAGCCAGAGAGAGAGGCTGGAGTCTGCAGTCCACACAAGATGGGAGTCAGAGACAGGAGAATTACTAGAGAAGTCCAGGGACAGATAGCCTGGCATGCCCTATCAGGGAGGAAGGCAAGCGCTGACCCCTGAGGCTGTCCTCTGACCTCAGTGACGAACACATGTTTGGGGGGGCAGCAGGGGACGCCCAAAGAAATGTGAATGAATGGACTGAAGATGACGACTGTGTAATACTACATCGGTGAAATGGATCAAATAGAGCGGTACAGCAATTAGATAAATCTAAAAGGGGGGGAGGCTGGCACAGTCTAAGGTGTCTCTAATGTGATTGCATCTGTTTAATAACATGAAGAACATGTCCATTTATAAATGGATACATGCAGAAGCCATGAAATAATCAACCCCTTTTGAGAATAATGGATGAATCTGGGAAGCAGAGTGGGAAGGAGAAGGGAGCTGGAAGGGACACAGGCTGACTCCATTTTTCTCTGCAAAAGGGTTGGTTTGTAGTTTTTTAGTTGGTACATTTATTGTTTGTATGTGTGTTCATGGGGCGGGAGCATGCCCGTGTCACAGTGTGTGTGGTCAGAGAACAACTGTGGGAGTTGGTTCTCTCCCTCCGTCATATGGGTCCCAGAGACTAAACTCAGGTCATCAGAGTTGAAAACAAGCAGTCATTTTACCAGCCCAAGTTCTGCTGTTTTAAGCTGGGGTGTGAGTCTGGTTTTGCACACTTTGGTGTGCCTTATGCAATGAGTAAATTCTGGAAAGGAAGACTGCAGTGGAATCTGAGAACCATGGAGGAGAGCTTCAAATGTGACTGGGGTAGAGTGTTTGCCTGGCATGCCTGAGGCTGTGAGTTCAATTTCCAGCAACAAGCAGGGGTGGGAGGGGGTGGTTTGTTTCAGGACTTAAGGGAGTGTCAGTGACCTCACTAGCCAGTAAAACTGGAGGGGTAGTTAACCCCGAGGCAGGGGGATGACCATTCTGAATTCTGCAGGAGTCATTGAGTCTCCAGTGCCCAGGGGTTGGTGGGCAAGAACAGTGTTGAGGCTTGAAGATTTGGGGAGGATAAAGCCAAGCCCCGGTGCCTGGGCATGGAGAGTGGGTGATGCCCGGTCTTGGCAGGCAGCAGGGTGAAGGATGTGGTGCCAAGCTGGGCAGAGGGGCTGCCAGGGTAGAAGATCAGAGGAGTGGATGGGGGTGCTGGGGCATTGTCAGGGCTTGAAGCAGGAGGCTGATGGGGTGGAGTGTGGGGGATCAGCAGAGCTCGGGGGAGGCCAAGAGGAAGTGGGTACTGCCAAGTGTGTGGTGGGAAGCAGTTGGTGCCAGCTTGGGGCTGGGGGGCAGAGGGCAGAGGTGGGTACCCTAGGCCTCGTCTCCCCAGGACTCCTCCAGCTGCTCAGTTTTGTAACATATACAGTTTTGCTGTTACCATATTGTAGTATCCTGGAGCTTCAGGGTCATAGGACCTTTGGGACCCTCTGTACAGAAAAAGGCAGCCATGCCCAGGTCTGGGGAGATTGGCCTAGGCAAGGCCAACCTGTGAGGCTAGTGACAAGACCTGGATTGGAGCTACCTCCGTGTTTGGACGTGTGCAAACCCTGTCGGTTGCATGGTGGGAAGGGGGGCATACACGAGGGAGGTGTGAGGAAGGACTCCATGCTGACCCAGAGCCAAAAGCCCTGCTGCCCAGCAACGAGACCCAAATACTTCCAAACGGGGCAGACAGAAGGCCACGGACACTACTGGGTGCATGTTCTAGGCCAGCAGTGGAGTGGACCTTGTAATTCTGGGCCTTAGAGAAGGGGGTTCCACAGAATCTGTAGCTGTTATGGAGCAGCAAAAAGTGAGAAGCTTTATATGCAGTATTTATTTATTTGTTTGTTTTTTGAGACAGGGTCTCCATATGTAGTCCTGGCTGTCCTAAAACTCACTCTGTAGACCAGGTTGGTCTTGAACTCAGAGATCCATCTGCCTCTACTTCCAGAATGCTGGGATCAAAGGTGTGCACCACAAAACCACCTTTAGAATTTATTTTCAGGGGCCGGAGATATGACTCAGTGGTTAAAAGCACTGGGTGCTATTCCGGAGGAACCAGGTTCAATTCCCAGCACCCACATGGCAGCTCACAACTGTCTGTAACTTCAGTTCCACAGGACCCAACACCTTCACACAGACACACATGTGGGCAAAACACCAATGCACATAAAATTAAAATAAACAAATCTCTAAAAAAGGAATTTATTTTCAGAGCTGAGTGTTAATCCAAACACCCAGGAAC